TTTGTCATGTCCCATTTTAATAATCCCCTTTTAAATGCTGATTTATTTTTTTTTAATTGGAAAGACCTTGACCTCATCTTTCTTTTCTTGCTTTTGTAGAATTAATTCATGGACATTATTAACAGTTATTGTTTTTCTGCCTTTCCCAGTGAAAAGAACACAGGACAGCATTCATCAGCTGGTCTTAGACATTGATGTTCACAGAACACCTAACAAAAAGGACTGAGATTTGGTTTACAACAGCTACTTAGGTTGGTAACAGTAGGATAAAAGAGAAGATGTTCCAGATAACTAACAGGAACTGTAAAAGGGGAGGCTTTATTTCTTCCTGAGTTTATGTGTCTACCTGCAGTTTAAGAAACAGGCTTTACCCATTCTGACTGGCTTGAACATGAGGCAGTGTCCATGTTGCTTTTGAGGTACTAGAGAACTGTACAGAGGAGCAAGTGAGCTTGTATCCTTCACATGGATACAGCCCAACCAGTACTTTGGGCGGTGCCCAGCCAGTACTGTAGTATTTTGGGGCCCTTTCTCTCTCTTTTAGGGTATGTGTGGAGAAATAGGAGTGTTCTTAATTCTTTCCCTCAAATGATTGAGCCAACAACCTCTATCCAGATGGCTGTAATGGAAAATGCTGTTGTACTCATCCACTTCAATTTCTCCAGCCAAAGCTGGAAGGCTTTGGCTTGATGATATATTGTATATATTCTTTCCATAGTGGATCTGAAACCATTGTGGCTCTTTGCCCTCATTTCTTGAGGCTGAGAGGCAATTTGTGCAAGGAGTATAGGGATAAATGATAGTGCTTTTTAATGCTTTCCATACAGTCATCTTAAACCTTATGGATGGAAAGCTCCAGGCAAAGAATGTGTCCAGTGCAGTGAATTATTTGTTTTACAGAATAGGGAATAAATGTGCTGAACAGCATAGCTCAATTCTTCTTTCTGTCAAGGGATTTCTTCTGAGATACATTTTGGTAGAACAATGCTTTTTGTTTGTTTATTCGTTTTTATTTCCACTCGTTACATTCCAAGAAATCACTTACTGCTTTCCTGAGAATCATATTTGAAGGAAACAGGCCTGACATAAATTTTTCTGATGCTCTCCTTAAAATGGTTTGTGTGTGACTGGTGAGGTCAGAGGCTTTTCCAGCGCTAAGGATGAGATACATTTCATGTTGGATGTCTGTACTTTGGACAATCACATCCATGGTAGTTTATCTATTTATTTTCATAGTTAATGTGGAGAAAGAGGTACCTCCAAGGAAGTATCCAGGCCATTTTACCTACCTACTTTCCATGAGTGCGAATGACTGTGCACTGGAAGGGGTTGCCCAGAGAGGTCGTGGGGTCTCCCGCGCTGGAGATACTCAAGAACTGTCCAGACACGGTCCTGTGCAATGAGCTCTAGGGAGGTTGGACCAGATGACCCACCTGCAGTCCATTTCAACCTCACCCATACTCTGGTTTTGTAATAAGGTGGGAAGAGTAGTAGATGTTGGATTCCATTGGTTGAGAAGAAGGAGATATGCTTTGGTCAGGTGAGTCCCACCCTCAAAGAATTTAACTTAGGGCTTTCAATCTCTTGGGGACAATGACGACCAAGAACAAGGAATCTTTCAAGATGAAGATTTTTTTGCAGGAAGAGGCTTTTTTTTTTTCTGACATTACAGAAAATGTGACTGCAATCATTAGAATTCCAAGTGGGTTAAAGAGCAGGTGTTATTTAGTAATTTTTTTAAAGAAGGGTAAAATCCACTGCTGAAACATGTTTTTTGAAAATGTTTGAAAATACTAAAGGACATGAAATACAGATTAAAGCCAGTTAATGGCAGTCTGGCCTTTCCAGTGAAATAACTGATAAGCTGTTCAATAATCATGTAAATGGCTGTGTGCACAGAGGATATCTCAAGAATTTGTGGTGGCTGAGGAGATGGTCCATACTCAAGATTAGTGCCATTTTAAAGTAAAATTGGGTTTAGTTGACAAAGATTTAGATCTGTTTCCTGACTGCATACATAATACAGCAGATTTTTTTTATTGCAGATATTTTTTTGCAGTGGTTTTTACATGGTAATTCATGGGCAACAGCATGCGGTTGTCTAGAACAGTAAATGCCAGTAAAGTAATAGCCATGATTAAAAAAGAAAAGCTTTAAAAAACTAACTTCCCTTTATTTTTTGATAAATGCTAGAATTTAGATTAAGATAAAATTTAAAATGAAAAATATCCAGATGAATTAAAACATTTTATTCTTGTCTCTGACATCACTGTCTTTTTTTTTAATGTTAGGGGACAGTGATGTTTTTTGGTTTTAATGGCAATCCTTTCTAGAACTTCACATTATGCAAGTTTACACTCTTTTTAATTTGGTGGAATATCACAATATTTTCATTTCTTTCTAGGTAGGTTAGTTTGTGGAAAACTGAGAGGAAATCAAAAAACATCAATATTGTAATCAATATTGTAAAAATAATTAAAAATAGCAAAAGAAAACAAACCTAAAAAAAGACAAAGAAATTAATGTCTGGGTATTGAGACAAAATGCAGAATTTTTGCTCAGCTGCATCCATACTGCTATAGAAAATATGATCTTTAGTGTCTCACAGAGTCTTATGGAACACCAAAGATGAGCCTTTTTGAGAGAATCATACCAAATTGCAAATATAGCACAGACCACATTGTAGTAGCATCTTCACTCACCAGGGTTTGCATTAACCCACCTTTCTGTTGAGTTTCACTACTTTAGCTGCAGAAGAATTTGCTAATTCCAAGAGGCAAAAGAGTTTGTGGGTAAAACAGTTGAAGGAAAGGAATGACCCTGCAAGGAGATTATTTTTCTAGAAATGACATGTTCCAGTGTCACAGCTTTGATTTGGTGCTGTGTTTTTTTCTGGTAGCTTTACCAGCTCTCCTGTCTATGGGGAGGACAGTGATTTGCCTTTGCATGGGTCACTGAACTAGAACTTGTTCTGCTCCTGCTGGCTCTCATCTATCACCATGGATGCCTCTAACTGTGCTTCCTGTAGTGAGGAAATTCTCATCAAATAATTTTAGATCCAATCTCTTCATGCCTCAAAACATTTCAGGGCTGCCCTTTATGACCCCTGCATCGCTTTCAGCCAGCCAGCACTTTTTGTTAGTGCTGGGGAGAGATACTGCACTCGTAACCTTGGTTAGAAACCAAGGACTTCTGGAGCTGCCTTGGGCTTCTGTGTTTATAGGGGAACATGTAAATGTATAGCTTTCACTTTCCACCTGATCTATGCCTGTGATGCTAGGATATGTTTGGGTATTCATGCCACATTACCTAAATAAATGCAGTATCCATATAGTGTCACAGACTCTCTCTGTAATCAGCATAGGAAAAGTAAGTCTTTTACGGAAGAGCAGCAATCGAAACCACGTGCCCAAAGTTGGCCAATATAAGTGGTCTTTCAATTCCTGGATGTCCCTGTCTTGTTCCTTGGCCTCTTGTTCAGTTTGAAGTAAATGATCCAGGTGGCAGCTGCTCCTGGGCAGTGTCTCAGCTGGCCAAATGTGCTTGTGTTGGGTTCACTAAGGAGACCAATGACCACAATTTACCAGCATTTGTTCCCTCCTCTCATTATGGGAAGCCAAGAACAGGAGGTGAAATGGGATCAAAGGCAGTGTTAGTGTTCATTGCTTGTGTTTACCACTCACCTTTCCTTATGTGGTGTATCCTGGGGACGCCCCACAGTGATCACCCCTGAAAGACAGTGAGACTTCTTCTCTGGGCAGTGGCAACAACTTACACGCTGTGCATTCTTCTTCATGTTGTAACGGAACTATATTTAGATGCAGAAGCTTGTCAGTAAATGACCCCTCTCTTTGAGGGGTCATTTAAGAGCAATCTTACACCTCTATGGCATTTCAGAGTTCCTTGATTTATGTTTTTTTAATGGACAAAGTGCTATAGCTATAGCTCATTAAAGATGCACAGAGCGAAACTAATATTAAGTAAAATGTATTTGATATTAAGTAACTCTTCCTGACCTGCAATATTTATAGTATTTGCATTTCTGGAACTTTTTTAAGAGGCAATGAGGTAATAATGCATAACCAGGTATACTAATTTTAGAAATAAATAAAAAGTCTTCAAAAACCCAAAGGCTGAACCTGTTGTTAACAATTTGAAATTTGTTTTTATGTGTAATTGCAAGAAAAAAAATGTAACTGTGATCCTGTAGCTATCATAGATTTGTATTTGGATGATAAAATGCTACTGCCCTATGGTAGTCATTTCTATTCAGGGACATTTTCTATTCCTGCTTGCAACTGTTATGAAAAGGTGCATAATTAAACCACCACTTCTCTCTAAATTTGACTTCAGATCAGTGAAGATATTTGAAAAGGATAGTTTGTTGTGGTGTTAAAATTGATGTGGAGGGGAAATAAGATCAAGTACATTAATACTATGTTTATGCAGACTAGGAGAGTCTGCATAAGAGTTCATGGAGTTGAACTAACACACTTTTGAAGTCCAGGTTAACTTTCTTGGGCGTTCATAGGTAGACAAACCTGAATTACTTGTGTAGTGTGGACTGAGAGAATATGTGTGTAGAAGAATCATGTTAAAAATTTTGAGATTCTTCAAGAGGACACCTAACATGAGACAATTTTTAAAATTAGTAATTTTTGTCTAATTTTATCTAGGTTTTTTCTTTTAATATCCCAAGGCAAATTTTTGGCTGCAGTTAAAACTTCAAGATGTTTTTGTTTGTTTTGTTTGTTTTGAGGATGAGTGGACAAATGCAGGATTCTTTTTTAAACAATGCAGGAATGCTTCACATTTAAACTAATTGGTATATTATCTTTTTTTCTTATTTTGCTAAATGTAATTTATTTACAGCTAATTTCTGTGAATATTTCTTTTAATGAATTCATCCAAACGGCTTGCACTAAATCCAAGGTAAACAGCATTGTAAAACTTCATCTAGCTTGAATTTCTTAATTTCTTAAAATTGTAGTTTCTCTTGCAGATACTGCCTTCTTCCACAGACATTTCACAGGCTAATGGACAGCCAGAGGATCGCGAGACAGCTGCCAAAGTGAATGGGATGACTGGGTCAATACCTGCAAACTCTCAGCAAGAGGCAGATAGCACCCACAGCTCTCACATCACTTCAAACCTGTATGCTGGTTCTCCTATCAAATTAACAAGCCCGGAGAGGATCATAGCCCTGCATCGAGAACTGAGACAAAACCATTGCAAAACTTACCGGGTCAGTAAAAATTTTCTCACTGTTTTTAGTTTAGTGAAATCTGTTATTCTTGGCAGAAGATACAGATATGTGAATGATCCCTTTGATTGATGCACATTTGATTTTAGTTTAAACAATCTGACAATAATAAATGTTTAAAGTTTTTTGTTATGTATTTTCTTCCCCATTGTTTATATGTGGCTTGGGGCTTGTAAAAATAATTAAAAGGTTTTGCTTTTATCATGGTATACTCTCTGGTAAAATGATCTTCAAAAATTGTTGGATGTTTTAAAAAAAAAAAAAAGTTGTTATGTTGATCATCTTGTCCTACCTTTTTTCCCTGCAAAGTTTTTCTTTTTTTTTTTTTTTTAGTGATCCAATTATTCCTCTGCCCTGAAGCTCTTTATAGTAATTTCCATTAACCGCAGGAATCCTGTTAAGAACAGAGCTGATCAATTGCAATTGCATTTGTGACAGTCTGCTGCTAAACTAAACACGCAAGAGATTTCACCCTCTCTGAGACAACATAACCTCTCCATATTTGTATGGAAAAAAAACCCAAATATGCAATTACTGGAACCAGTTAGGTAGAGTAGTTACAAATATTACTCTACTGAATTTTATTTATAATCTTGGATTAAAATAAGTGTGATAAAACAAACTCATTGTTTCTGCTTTTGGCATTAATGAAAAAAACATGGAAGATACTGAAATGTCCTTTTAGTTAAGAAATTTATTATACAATGAGATGGTGACTCAGAATTCTGATAATATGTTACTTAGTCCAGTAACAATTCAAATAGAATTTCCTGCTCCTTTTCTCTCTCACAGTCACACATAAAAAGGACCAAATAAAATATTGCCATAAAAGAAAACCATTATGGAGGGGAGAATGCAAGTAGCTCTTTGATTGACCTGACCTTTGTGAGCTCAAAGATTACTTTTTTATATAAATCACATGAGCTGTAATTAAATCCCAATGAAAGCAGGACATGGGCTTCACGTAGACTCACATGGGAAGCTGTGGCTGAAATCAGCCGCAGTGCAGAGTGGCCTGTTTCCCCGTGACATACAGAAACACACCGTGACATCCAAGGTTATGGTTTCTCTTCTTCTTTCCTCCTCAGATACCTTCAGTTGTCTCCTCCAACTCAAATCCACAGGCTGATCGCAACTTGCCCACGATCCATAAGGAAGCCCCTTGGCCTCTGCTGTCGAGGATGAAGGATGCACTGGTGCCTCTGTAGCATAGTGGCTTCTGGGCCACGAAGGGGAGGGATCAGTTGTAGAAACGTGATGATGTGTTTTGGGGTCAAATAGGAAATCAGCATGCAGGTGCTACTCCCCAGGGAACAAAACAGAAAAATGCCATTATGAATAAGGCATGGCTCTCTAGAGAAAAAACAGATGGCTCAACCTCAGCTACCACAGCAAAAAGCTATTTGTCAGACGTGTTGTCAGCAAGTAATAAAGGTCGAAATCCTGTGGGTAGGAGTCAGCTGCACGGGAAAGAATAAAACCTGCAGAAATAAAACAAGGTAAACCATCTAAGCAATATGATTTTTCCCATTGCTACAAAAGTACTAATAATTTTTTAAAACAAAGATACCTACTACTTAGCATGGCCTAGCAACTAGTTAGAGATGACTGAAAAATTTACATGAAGAAGAGCTGTAATACTTTTATGATCAAAATGTTTTTAGAACATTTGAGATCATTGAAACCTATGGATTTTTTAATTAGCTGGCCTGCCTCCCCATTTTCTTTTGCTTTTCTTTTAAGTGAGGCTGTGAAGCAACCTGTTAAATCACTTTCACTTATATGTATGACTCATTTCTTCAGTGTGCTGTGGCAGGTTCTGAGAGAACATCTGCCTTGTGTGACTGTTTCCTCTGGAACTTCAGGGAATGTAGCATCGTGGACTTCCTAAAAACTAATTTTACAGAAATTGGAGGGTCATTTTGCTGTGTTTCTTTAGTCTTGGGATACTTTTTAAAATTGAATCTTTTTTTTTTTTTTTAATCGACTGAACTACAGCAGGATACCCAATGTATACCCATTTACTCTAGGTGGTAGAATCTGTAAAATAGTATCCTTCAACTGTTACTTTTAAGTAACAAATTGAAGCTTAACTTACTGGACAAGTCCGCAACGACTTTCTCTATGCAACTGAGTGGGCATCATGGGTACAGTAACATCTGAGTTCAAGGGCTGGATGATTCAGACTGCACCCTGTGCTGCCAGACCCCTACACCCACCACAGGGAGAAGTGATGGGGTGCCAGGCCACCTACCCTGGCAGAGCCAGGACAGAGCTTCCTCGTAGCCTGGTTCAGAAACACTTGTGGCATGGGATGCATGAACCTTTGATGGATCCTGGCTAGGGAAAGGAGGAGGGAATAGTGTGTCTGTGCAGGTGGATGTGTGCACTAATGCTGGTTGACTCCAGGAAGTTTAACTCAGCATGGTTGTAAATTCCTCAAAATACTTATTTGTATTGTGATCCCTCCAGATTTAATTCTTTTGGAAAACCTTCATTATTCATATCTCCCAGTTTTCTTTGTTTTTCATCACTTATATTAAAGGGCATTAATGCACAGTAATACATGGCACAGTTCCTGTGCTTTTCCTCTGCATCCATTGATTACCCCAGTTGGTTCACATTATGTTACTACATTTGTTTGATGCTGCTTTTCGGAAGCCAGAAATAAAATGACTGGTTTTGATGAAATATTAATGTACACACTCACACTTTATTGTGGAAACCCGCCTTCAATTGCTCAGTTAGGTAGTGGTGCAGTTGCTTCCAGCACTAACTGAATTGCTCTTCATCCAACATATCTTTAGAAAACATACACCAGATGCCAAGGGAAATAGTCTCTGGAAGCAATGTTTTTGAGTGCTATCTAAGCAGAGAAGACACCAGTGAGATTCCAAAATATGGGCTTTTGCTTTCATGTACCTTTCTTTTCTTCCTAATACCAGGCCAGAAATTCTAAAGGCAGATATAGCTGCTATCCAGCCATCAGCTGCTTGGTCAAATGTAAAGACATTCTGATGTGCAAAAGCACCTGTAAACACTGAATGTGTGACTTTTATGTTGATAAAATGGTGCTTTAAGAATTAGCCCTTCGGAGAGCTTTTTGGAGCTTTATCTTACTGTCAGTAGATACAGGGCCTGGTAGTTCAGTCTGAGGTCATAATGCATGAAGTGTGCTAATAATAAGGACATTAATAATAATATCCTATGATAATATGATAATAAGCCTTTGTTATCCTAGCGTAGCTATCTACTACTGTTTGGGACTATAGTAACTATCCATGAAATTAAGCCTTTTTCAATCTAATCCCTTTCTATCAAAGATAAGTGTGATTTATTTTAAATCGTAAGGCTTCATTTTAAGCTAATTAGGTTATTTGGCCCCATTCTTCCCCCTGCTGGAATTAATAATTTCCTGAACAAGGGCCACAGACACACAGAGGCGTAGATGGAGGAACAGACATTTGCAAGGATATTACCTGCACTGAAGCACTATAGTGCAAAACAGACTCAGGCAATTCATCCAGCAAATGGATTCTGTGCTGGCACTTCATAGCTTTGCTTCACAAGTCACAGATTTCCTGTAGCCCCTTGTGTTTTTAATTTTTTAAGACATCCTACTTCATTTCTTCCTAGTACAAAGCATTGTTTAAAGATGTGCAGATGCCATGATTATCAATTGGCCAGCTGTTTCAGCTGCTCTTCATTTCTCTTAAGTAAAAATGTGATTGTTTAGACACTACAGTGGAGGAATGCTAATAAATTAGCAGCAATCAGTTTGGAGCTCTGCATGCAACACCATTGGAAAAGGTGGGTCAGCTAAAGGTTTTCCCTCTTGAACTTCTGTCCTACTCCATTTTTCCCGCTACTGAATGGACAAATGAGAAGTGATAGTCAGATTATGCCAGATAATTATGCACTAATTGATCTACAAGAAGATTAGATGATGCATTGCACCATCAAACAAGGCACTTCAAATTCTTTAAACATGGTCATTTATAGAAATCTGACCCCAAATGTACAGTGGTGGACCAGATGGTTCCTATATTGGTGTCCTGCCAGGCTGAGGTCCTTTGGGAGTCTGAATTTGCTGACTGACTCATTAGAATAATTAATTTTACCCTTTATTCTGTAAATTATTTGGTTTGGGTTTTTTTTGAAATGAAGGGTTATCAGTAGCAATGTGCTTACAGAGCACATCTGAACAGTTGACTTGTCTTGAATCACCTGTGATCTGCTGTTTGTCATCCATGGACCTGCATGAGTCAAATGGCATTATCTGTACTTGACTGGATGATGAGGATATTTGGAAGGAAGCTGGATGACAGCATGTTTCCTACTGACAGATGCTCACTGAGCCTGCTTCTCATTCAGACAAACTCTTCCACTTCCAAAGAAATTGTTTGAAACAGCACAGAAAGCTGTTTTCTAGGATCAATAGTTAGCAGCAAATGAGTGTTAACATATTCAGACAATATTTGCCCAGCTCTTTTTTTCTAGACTTGAACTCCCTAATACTGAAGTCAAAATGTCCCTTTTTAGCAGGGAGGTTATCTCTTTTCTCTCTAGTTTTAACAGAAGTTTTACTTAAAAAATAGAATTACATGGAGGCATTAACCTGAAATGGTGCCTAGCACTTTCTAAAGGCTATGTGAAAGATAAAAAGGGAACTTGTGGTGTTCCTATGACTACAAATGCACTGTAGAATTGTGTACCAGATATGAGGGAGAAAAGCCACTGGACAGAATAGCAATTCTTTTTATGACAGGTGAAAAAAAAATACATCACTTTCTTCCAATGCTGAATAAGCAGATTTCTGTAATCAAAGAAAACTAATAATTCTCCTGCAGTTGTGCCTTATCTGTTTTGCTCTTTATTGGTAGGAGAGGTCATAAACAGGGAATGTAATACAGTTTTTAAGTTCATATGCAAAGAAACAGAACACCTACAATGACAGATCATGCATATTTTAAAAGAGTTCTCTTTAGTCAATGCAATTCTTGTATTAGACTACTCCTTCTACTCCTCTTATTTTTCAGGAAAATAGCATTCATAATATTTGAAAAAAATAATAAATTGCCCTGTTTTTGTCTACACTCACCTGTGCATGCAGTCTCACTTAACTAGAAAGAATTCACTATGCAAGGCCAAAAGGTGAAGTCAGTTGCCAGTTACATTTTAGGAATGTCTAGAACAGACATGCTTTGATCAGAATCAGTGGAAAGAACAAGGTCAGCATTCCCCTTAAGAACTGATATTCTGGAGAAGGCCTGGAAGGCACTGGAAAGATGACAAAACTCATTCTCTTTTCAAATAAATGATGCCAGTGTCAACTCTAGGTTCTACTGGATATTAAACATTTGTAGAAGATGCAGAAGGGTTGCTCCTGAAGCCTTCCACTCTCTATCTGTTGCTTGTCTTGTTCTATGAAAAGCTTTTATGCATGTAGGAAATTTGGGGATTATACTCAGTCTGTGGTCATTCAGCTCAGGGCTGGTATTGGTATGAGTCAGAACAAAACCAAGTTGCCTATGATTAAATTTTCTCTACTCCCTAATGATCCCTGTTTATATTTTTTTTGAGTAGTAATTCTAATTTGTAAAAGTATTATCTAATACCTTCTTAGTAACAGCCTTTTCATTGAGCCCTTAAGCTGATGGATATTAAAGCCCCTAATTAAAACCAGATAATGTATGAAAGATTCCTGTAGTGCAGGCCTTTCTCTTAGAGCTTGATTAAACCAAAAAACTCATACATCTGTTTGCACAACTGTATTCTCATCAGGGCAGGCAGCTTGCAGCGTTGACTTAGGTCCATCCTTCTCACAGTAGCTTTTTCTTGGAAATAAAGAGAACAAGAAAGGCTAGGAGAGAAAATGGAGTATTTCAGAAACATTGGCTTATTACATTTAGCTAGGAATGCAATCTTTCCCTATTCTATGGCTCTGATGCTATTAGTCAGGATAATGGTGAACCACAGAATAATATGTTCAGTTACATATAAATCTGTATGAAGTACTTCTGTGCATATATAATCTCTCTATATATGTTTAGTTACATGCAGTTTTGCATGAATAAATACAGTATAAAATAACAGGGATAAGTGATTTTCTGCAGATCTTTATTTTTTTCCTTTCTTTTTTCCTGTCTCTCTTGGAATTTGCAAATAGAAGTAGGAATATGAGAATAGATTGATTTTTTTTAAATTTAAACCTTAAATTAAGAGGAAACTAAGACTATATAGTGAAAATTGTGGTTTTACCTTGACTCCACTGCAGGTTAAAATCCAGGTTTGTATGAATCTGTCTTCCCTTTCCCAAATACCCTGGATTCCACTGGTGTATTTGCATGCTCCACTTGTCAGTTCAAGTGTAGATGGCAGTGAGACCAGGCCACTGGGAGATCCTTGCTCTGTAGCAGTGTAGCTCCCTGTTGTTTCTTGCTGCTGAAAGATGGGAAGAAAAACCATCAGTGGTTCTATAAAACATTGTTAGTACAAC